AAATTCCTTAAATAACTGACACAGCACTGTAAGTTCCGTTCCGTGGTGAAAGTAAAAAGTCGAGTTGCTTTGTCTAATGTGAGAAGTCCTTGGCGGGACTGACTTTACTGTGAGGTTACGTTCCTATAGATGTCTGTGTGGCTATTATGTGTCGCGTGCACAGAAACCATTACTATCCAGCCCATCGCACTACGCAAGTGATGTTTCGTACGTATATGTCGTGTCTATAGCACTACGCTAGTGATGTTTTGTACCTACGTGACGTGTCCATAGCACTACGCAACTAGGCATTAGTTTATAAATATTCTGTCAATAGTATCACAATAAGGAATGCTCAGTTTTTCCGTAAATATAGAATTTTAAATTAAAATATAGAGGAAAACATTGAACTTATCACTTACGCACATTGTTCAAAAGTCCTTAAATAACGGACACAGCACACTAAGTCCCGTACCGTAAGTAGGTGTTAAATGACGTAATGGTACGTCTCGTGTCCAGTACGTAACGGGACAGAGTTCACTGTGAGGTTACGTCGTATAAGATCATTTTGTCGCGTCATTTCAAACAATAAAAATATGAAAAAATAGAATACAGACAGCTAAATCAAGGCCAAATAGTTTCGTAATGTGGCTTTTAAAATTACTACCTCGTCTTATAAAGCCTCCTGCCTTTTTAAGCAACTTCTCCGCCATATAATGTCATAACGCCTACTACCTACGTGTATCCATAGCACTACGCAAGTGATGGTGCATACATGAACTGCGAACGTAGTATTGCCCACAGCACAATTGAATGAAATTATAAAATATAATAGAATTTGTCACTTGCGAACATCGTTCAAAAGTCCTTAAATAACGGACACAGCACACTAAGTCCCGTACCGTGAGTAGGTGTTACATGATGTTAGAAATGTCTTGTGTCCGGTACGTAACGGGACAGAGTTCACTGTGAGGTTACGTCGTATAAGATAATCATTTTGTCGCGTGATTTATAATTAAAGAAAGGAAGAAAAAATAATTGAGTCAAGACAGTTAAATTACTCAATTGATGTTACGTAATCAGGTTACAAATTACTACCTCGTCTGACTCGTCTCATAAGACGCATTATGATGCCACTCTAATGCATTTTCAAGCATTACTCTCTCGCCTCTTACTGTCATTTAGAGAATCGGTACGTCACCGCTGGCACAACCAAAAAAAGCCACCAATAGATTTGAATTCCTTAAATAACTGACACAGCACTGTAAGTCCCGTTCCGGTGAAGTTGTTATAAAATGAGTTGTTTCGTCCCATGTAAGTAAAAAGTCCAGTACGGGGCGGGACCAACTTCACTGTGAAGTTACGTTTTAATAGATGTTTATGTGGCATGATGTTCAATACCAACGTGTCATATCCATAGCACTACGTCAGTGATGTCTACTACCTACATGTCATGTCCATAGCAATACGCAATTGACGCTTACTATCTAGGTGTCGTCTCCATAGCACTACGCAAGTGATATTCAGTACCTACGTGTCGCGCCCATAGCTCTACGCAAGTGATGTTAAGTACCTACGAGACGTGTCCATAGCAATACGCAAATGACGCTTACTACCTAGGTGTCGTCTCTATAGCACTACGCAAGTGATGTTAAGTACGTACGTGTCGTGTCTATAGCACTACGCAAGTGATGTTCAGTACCTAATGATCGTGTCCACACTAAGATGTATAGGATTAATCGAATTTGAGTAATTGTCAAGCCTTGTGTGGGGTTAATGAAGTAGTTCTATCAGGATCTAGTCGATTAGTAATGCGCGAGCAATGGCAAGTCAATAACTAGCACTAGTCTAGCAAACTCCAGCAAAATCCAACCTTACTATGAAGTTTATAATAGAGGAATACGATGAAGAAGTTTTTGATGCTACGCACACGGACGTCGAAAGAAGAATAGTTTTGTAAATAATAAATAGAAAATATGAATCTGTCACTCACAAGCGATTTTGCCTAAAGATGTAGTCGGCTTTCAATCAAATTACAGTACCTAAATTCATATAATTCCGAAGTGACAGTTCAGAAAGATTTAGATTAGAAAGATAGACAAGTGAATCCCGCCCACCAGAACCGAAGTTCCTGCTCGAAGACTGTAACGACCATCCTTTGGAAGTTCTATAAGATAACTGACACAGTGCACTCTAGTAAGCGCTCCGATTACAGTTTACTTTAAGATACAACTTCAGGTTAGTCAGCCTATCGTGCAGTGTGACAACGGTATAGTGAACTTCATCACTAGAAAATGCTACACACCCATGTATCTACTTCTTTTTGGCGACTTACCGTCGCAACTACCGCAGTTCAGAAGACAAAAGTCACCAGCTGCAACTTCTGAACATCCGAACCACATATCCTACTCAAAATCAAAGAGAAGGAACTAAATTATAATCAAAAGGAACAAATTTAAAAATGACATCCTTAAGTTATCTAATTAAAATACTGTGGATAGACCGGTTAACTTTGATGGTAACTACGGGCTTAGTTAAGCCTTCACTGCCCGTTGTATAAGTACTATCCACGAGTACCTAAATTACTTTCAAACTACCTGCGACATATTTTACGACATTTACGAGTGCATAGAATATGTTAGACATAATTAATTACTCACTGTAGAGCAAGCAGACTGCAGAACGAGGAGAAAAGGAAATTTAAAATAAAATTCGTTAAACATGGCAGTGTTTTACGAACAGGCCGCTGGTTAGTTTTCAATGTTTATCTTAGAGCATCTGCCTGGTGCATTCTAAAATAACAAGTTAACATGAGATACTAATCCTCCATCACTCACAATATTTAACATTTTTAAATTTCATTGCGATCAAAGAGGGATGTTGTCTCGCAAAATTCGATACACCTCATCTTTTCGCTGTCAAAGCAGATGCCCCGAAGGATTAAATAGAGAAAGAGCGCAGAGTTTTTATTAGACCGACTGCAGTCTGCTTACTAAGCAAAGAGATCCACACTGATTACAGTAAGACAATAAGTAACGGATAATGTATGATGACGCTTACATTACGTATCAAATAGACTCGTTTTAATTAGCAATAAGAAATTACAAAAAAAAAAACATACTACGAATATCTTGAGAGAACATACCGTTACAAATCGAGTGACAATGACATGATTCTATGAATGAATGAAATTAAATAACTTATAAATAAAAAAAAATGTTCTCTCTATATCCACAAATTGTTGTCACCAGTACTCGCACTCTCAGTTTAATGAATGCGTTTTGCGTTGGTATGTTTTTAGCAAATTTTTAAAACTATTATCGAGTATCAGCACACGTATTCATTCGCCTGTAAGTGCGTAGGGCACATCTAGATGTTCACATACACAAATCATAAATAATTATAAAGATGTTTATATGTATCAGAAATGTGCTTAGCTTTAAGGATTGTCGCATGAATAAATGGGATCGTGAAATGACTGAAGACGTTTACATATAGCTACACATTTATAAAACACTTATCTTAGAAATTATGTGAGTTAATAAATACTGCTTAAATATTACAAGTGACGGAGTCACGTTGTAGCAAGCTGTCAGTATAGAACCATAATTAATTTGATGACAATGTTATTACGAAAATTAGAGCATCCTTACATTTTTTTGCGCTTCACAACTTATTACGAAATCAGTTCCATAACAACGACTTTTTTGAAAATAATGTAAATACCTTGACTTCACTTTTTTTACTTTTTTTCACTGACAGCCTCAAAGGATCTTAAAACTATGTAGTACATACGGGTCTTACATATTCGGTTAGCATAAACGATTATGGAGTATAATGACTTAGAATTACGGTACATAACATTTGATCACCGCTTTGTATGGTTGGTACGTGTTACTTGCTTCTGAGAACCCTTAAATTACCTCGAACAGGAGAACAGAAAGGTCCCTGTCCGGTATGCCTTTTGTCTCAAAGAATTGTCGTATCTATCTGGACAAGCCGAAACGTCTACATTTGATATTCGATCAGTTACACATGCACACAGAAATAAATAACCTAGCAATGACGTCACTTGAGAAAAATTTTCAAAGACTATTCATTTCAACAGTATATTGTGAATTTGTTAAAGGAAAGATTCAGATACATTCATAGATGAAGTAGTGGGAGGAGAAGGAAGAGAAGTGGGCGCCGGAACTCTTCACTCACCGAACTAAACACAACGACTTAAAGGTCGCTGTGTCTCGCCGGACTTCTGTGAGAGCGTGGTACTACCCCGGTCGAGCGTGCCCGAATACGTGCTAAGCCAACGAGTGCCCATAGCTGTGCTCTACCACTAGAGGAAGCCGACAATAAAAGTCGAAGATAATGAATGAGGTACGGGGAGGGGGATTGAAGTGGGGATAGGGGAAAGTGTGGGCTTCGGAACTCGTCACTCACCGAACGAAACACAGCAACGAAGAGGTCACTGTGTTCCGTCGATCTTCTGTGAGAGCGTGGTACTACCCCGGTCGAGCGTGCCCATGTTCGAGCTGAGACAACGAGTGCCTACAGCTGTGCTCTACCACTAGAGGAAGTAGATTATGAAAATTTAAGACAATGATGAAGAGGGGCTGAAATGAGACGGGGGAGACATAAAGGCTGGAACTCGTCACTCATCGAAAGAAAAAGAGCAACTTGAAGGTTGCTATCTCCCATCGATCGCGTAGCTACGACAACGAGATCCTACAGCTGTGCTCTACCACTAGAGGAAGCAAACCTGTGATTAGAAGTGAAGCTCAGTTGGGGGTAAGATATGGGCCTCGGAACTCGTCACTCGCCTGACGAAACACAGCAACTTGAAGGTCGCTATTTCGCGCCAGTCTTCTAAGACAACGAGATCCCACAGCTGTGACTTACTATAAGAGAAAGTGTATTTTTGAAAGTCGATAGCGACGATGAAAACATGGGGACGGGGAAGAAGAATTAGGGATACTGTGTTTTACCACTAGAGAAAGCAGAATGATAAATATCGAAGACATTTATGAATTGGAGTGAGAAGAGATGAATTGGCTTTATGGAAAAAGTGGGCGTCGGAGCTCTTCACTCACCGAACGTAACTCGGCAACTTGAAGGTTGCTATGCCCCGTCGATCTTCTGTGAGAGCGTGGTACTACCCCGGTCGAGCGTGCCCATGTTCGAGCTGAGACAACGAGTGCCTACAGCTGTGCTCTACCACTAGAGGAAGTAGACTAATAAAAGCCGAATAAGAGAGGTTAAGCACATGTACATAGTTGCAGGATGAAGTTTAGGGAAAGAATTGTGTTTGGGACATTAGAGCTGCACAAGATCTTTACATATACAGCATATTTGCCTTTAGGAATTGCCAAACAAGCTCCACTTTTAGTCTATTTTGTCACATTTATCTCAGGTAAGTATGTAGCTGTTTTATATAATTGTATTTATATTGTAAACCTTGTTCTTATACATTTCGTCTCTACAACGTTTTAGGTAACCGATTAGATCTTCATAATTTTTAACGTTTACAATTTCTAAAATTGAACGCTCTCCAACAACATCCTTAAGTCAAATTTAATTTCATTTTTTAGTAGAGAAACTAGTTTTTTGAAGATAGTGAATAAAATGGAAATAAGAGGCGGGGTGAAATGGGGCAGGAAAGATGGAGTAGGTGGACGGAAGACGTAGGGGAAGGGGAAGACGTGGGCGCCGGAACTCATCACTCACCGAACAAAACTCAACAACTTGGTGGTCGATGTGTCCCATCGGTCTTCTGTGAGAGCGTGGTACTACCCCGGTCGAGCGTGCCCTGGTTTGAGCTAAGACAACGAGTATCTATAGCTGTGCTCTACCACTAGATAAAAACAAATTATGAAAATGGAAGTCATTACAGGATATTTTAGGATTGCGAAAAACGGTGGGGACTGGGGACAGCGGGATGGGGAATTAGAATTATCAGAGAAGGGACAGATATACTGAATTGTTGTGAAAGAAGACATTAGCAAGAAAAGACATCAGCATTAACATTAATTTCAATCCGACAGTAATGGACGACAGAATCTGACAGATGGATGATGGAGTTGAAGCTAGATGTAAGTAGTATTAATGATGATAAAAAAGATGTTAAGACTGTTTACATCGAAGAACGTTTATCACCCCGTCATTGGTGTTATGATGTAACACGTGAATGATAGGCGGGGTGACGGGAAGAAGAAAAAGACCAAGTTACATAGAACTTATTTCTCATATAGCGTAACACAACTAGATATTGGTATTTCCAGTTGATTGGGTGTGAGAGCGTGACAGTACTTAAGCCAGGCCTAATACTAGCGAGTGAAGGTGAAAGTACCTACAGCGGTGCAAAAGTTAAGGGAACTGTGAAATAGAGGGAGGGAAGGAGCGACAATTAGAAGAAGAGAATAGAGTGGACTCCGGAACTCATCACTCACTGAATGTAACACAACAACCAGATAACGCTATTTCACATCAACCTTGAGTGAGAGCTTAGTATTATTCCGTCAGATCTTTGCCATTTTTAAGGTAAGGCAATAACGCACACTAGCACTCTAGCAGAAGAGAAAAAAGACTTATTAAAGTCGAAGAAATTTGTGCAAGGGGGGAGGGGGGTAGTGCAATAAAGTAACAAAAAGGGGAAAACAAAAAAGTGGGCGCCGGAACTCGTCACTCACCGAACGAAACGCAGCAACGAAGAGGTCACTGTGTCCCATCGGTCTTCTGTGAGAGCGTGGTACTACCCCGGTCGAGCGTGCCCATGTTCGAGCTGAGGCAACGAGTGCCTACAGCTGTGCTCTACCACTGGAGGAAGTAGCCATATGAAAATCGAAGTCAATGGTGCAGAATGGTAGATAAAATACAGAAAGTGAAAAAACTCGTCACTCATCGAACGAAACAGCAACTAGACGCCGCTATTTCCCGCCGGTCTTCTGTGAGAGCGTGGTACTACTCAGGGGAAAGTGCCTCTTTATGAGATGCAATTGACTAGGTACACCTCACCTCAGAGGGCGGAAGAAACAGGATTCAAGCAATATTAACATTTAGTCGTAATCCCTTTACACTGAGAACTACATTCTCCATAACAATTATTTCCAGTACTCATACCTTAGGAAATACTAATACGTGGAGCGTGTCATGTGAAAATAATTTTAATTTCCTGTCTCAATAAAGTGACGAAGACCTCACGAACTGTATCAGCACCCGTATTAGTTTTTTCAAGATATGCAGTGCATCTTTGACTTAAGTTGATAGTCGATTAGTCACAATTCAAAACCTTCACGGCTGACAGAGATATGTCGAGTCATTTCTGGAATGTCGTAGAAATGGGTAAGATTTAGTTGATTCAAGAGAAATATTAGTTATAAGATGGCATAAGAGAAAAGACAGTTTTAGCGTCGGAACTCTTCATGCATAGAAGATAACATACCATACCACGCGGTCTCACAAGACTTCCTGTGAGAGCGTGCGACTACCCTAGTCGAACGTGCCCACTTACGAGCTGAGACAACAAGTGCCTACAGCTGTGCTCTACCACTAGTGAAAGTAGACTATAAAAGACAGTAACAAAGTATGAGGAATTGGATGGGGGAATGAAGTGGGGATAGAGAAAAATGTGGGCGCCGGAACTCGTCACTCACCGAACGAAACATAGCAACTAGACGCCACTATTGCCCGTCGGTCTTCTGTGAGAGCGTGGTACTACCCCGGTCGAGCGTGCCCGTTTACGAGTTGAGACATAGAATACCTACCTATAGGTGTGCTGAAGCAAACTCGTGAAAGGAGAGTACAATTGATAATTGGGTAAAGGGAAGCCAGGCTCGAGGAAGATGTGGATATTGGTGTCGGAACTCGTCACTCAAGAAAAGAAGAATTGTCGAAGACAAAGAGATCCTTTAGTAGTGTCTTACTATTAGATGGAAGTATACTTGTAAAAGTTGAATAACAATGATAAACATTGGTGACGTGGAGGAAATGAGGTAGAAGAATGGGGAATATGAAGGCGCGGAACTCGTCACTCACCGAAGGAAACACAGCAACTTGAAATGCCGCTATTTCCCGTCGATAGCTTAGACAACGAGATCCCTCAGCTGTGACCTACCAATAGAAGAAGCAAACTTGTGAAAGAAGATATATTTAGTAAAGGGAAGCCAAAGTGTAGGCAACTGTGGGTGTCGGAACTCGTCACTCGCCGTACGAAACACAGCAACATGAAGGTAGCTTTTTCCGTCGGTTGTGTAAGACAACGAGATCCTACAGCTGTGCCTTGTAAGTAGAGGAAGTGGACTAGTCAAAACTAACCATTAAAAATATAGTGACGAGTGAAATGGGGGTAGGGGAAGAAGTGGGCTCCGGAACTCATCACTCACCGAACGAAACATAGCAACTGAACGTCGCTGTGTCCCATCGGTCTTCTGTGAGAGCGTGGTACTACCCCGGTCGAGCGTGCCCATGTTCGAGCTGAGACAAAGAGTGTCTACAGCTGTGCTCTACCACTAGAGGAAGTAGACTTGTGAAAGTTTGTATAATTGGGTAAAGGGAAGTCAGAGTGCGGGAAAGATGTAGGCACTGAAATTCGTCGCTCACCAAACGAATCCCAACAACTTGAAAGTCACTATGTCCTGATGATGTCCGGTGAAAGTGTAATACAACTTCGGTTGAGCGAGCCCAATTACGAGCTAAGACAACGAGTGACTACAGCTGTGCACTACTACTGGAGGTAGTAAAATGGATAATCGAAGACGATGATAATGGAGTTAGTAGGGGTAAATTGGAGTAAGGGAAGAAGTGAGCGTCGAAAAACGTCACACAGTGAATGAAACAAAGCAACTTAAGGTTGCTATGTCACGACAATCTTCTGTGAGAGCACGGTGGTACTACGCCGGTCGAGTGTGACCATTTACGAGCTAAAACAATGAGTGCCCTAGTAGAAGAAAAAAGATGGTCGAAGATGAGGGAAGACGGAGGGCCTTTGCATCAGTAGGGGAAGTAGATTATAAAATCGAAGACGATGCTGATGGAATGGGAGGGTGTGAAATGAGGGTGGGGGAAGATGTGGGCGCCGGAACTCTTCACTCACCGAACGAAACACAACTTGAAGGTCGATGTGTCCCGTCGATCTTCTGTGAGAGCGTGGTACTACCCCGGTCGAGCATGCCCATGTTCGAGCTAAGACAACGAGTGCCTACAGCTGTGCTCTACCACTGGAGGAAGTAGACTTATAAAAGTCGAAGACAATGGTGAAAGGGGTTAGTTGGCAGGGACATAATGAATTGGGGCATCTGCGCTTTACAAGTTTTTTTAGGCTTCAGTCAGTTACAAGTTAAAAGTCTGTGGATAGCTTAATACACGAAATCGTTCACTGTCTGCGGAGGCAACTTATTTATACTGCAGCTGATAGCAAACCTGCTCAAATCACAATTTCGCATATTTCTTCAATCAAATTAGCGAAGACTGAAATAGGTTGTTGAGAATTAAAGAAATTTTATTTATTGATCTGAAATTTTGATCAGTTCAAGATCAGACAGGTTTATTGATGCCAAACCCAACGAAATGATCATCCAGCTACAAGTTCTACCCAGCGAGACTAAATAGATAATGCCACTCAGACCAGTTTGTCACTCTTTACAACTGCCATTTTGATGTCAACCAAGCACAATACAAATCATATGATCACTTACCTACAAAATGTTTATAAGGCATGCCATGACTGATTATTTTTAATGAAGGTAAGATGGAGGTCTATATGTCACGGTGGCCAGCAGGTTATGGCGCCGGCTTCTCAAGCATAAAGGTGAGGATTGAGAATTTGTCAAGTACCAATGTGACACTGACATACGGTGAAGGGAAACAAGACTTATAATTTCTAATTATAAGTTGGAAAGCGAAAACACAAGCGTGATGATTGATGCTCAATCCTTTCCACGTAGTAAGAAGACGCCTATGCTGAGCAATGGGCAGTCGGGCGCCTATAGGCTAATGATGTGTGCTGGTGTGAAGGATGGGAACATTATTTGTTATTTTATAAACTTGTTGTTGGAGAGAATTTCCCTTTGTAAAAAAGTGTGGTTGTTTGGTTTTCGCGACTATATTATTTAGCTATTCTCAATTGGAGATCTTACGAACGCGTGAAGAAAATTGTCACAAATGTTTGTGCAATTTAGTTTTCAAAGTCCTATCAAGGTAATCGACAATAGTTTTACTAAATTTATTTAGAAAGCGGTGATCAAATAAACATAATTACGGCACACCAAGTACGCACTACATCAAGATCCATATAATCCTACGAACCAATGGTCTTTTTTGTGTTCCATCTCACAATCACATTTATCTTAATTTGTTTTTACACACAGAACGCACATTATATACACATGATTATTATAGGGTTTTACAAAATTTCACGTCGAAAAGTCCGAATAAAATTTGGACCTGGGAAACACCACTAAATTAGATTTCTTCATATTACAATTTAGTTTAGTGTATTTTTGAGTAAATTTGTGTATCCCAGGTTCGAAGGCTTATTTCACCTTCTTAAATAAACGTGCACTTAGCTCGCTAAATGAGGTTGAGGTTCTGCAGGCGATGGTTGAAGCACTCAGGGTGATCGTGGAACCGCGGGCCAGCTAGCATGTTCTCCAGCACATCCTCGTTGTCTTTGAGGGCTCTGTACATCGGCTGCCACGTACCGAAGTTCAGCTCCATTAGTTGCGTTGCTTTCTTAGCAATCTTTAACGTCTCGCGGATCCAATCCTTTATAGGCATTGGCTGGCGTTCACTGTACAACAAAAAGTTCCGCTACAAATATCGCCAAATTCTATCTTGTCGTTTAGGGTGGGTGCGGGTAGACTGTGAGCATATATTATCTATACTTGCATAGGGATCGTAAAAGGGATCTAGTTAATCAATTGTGATTACACAAGCGCACAGGAAATGAACAATAAATCAATCTCGTCGCATTGTACGGAAGCCAACTATGCACAGAGTTACAATTGCAGTGCACTTACACAAGTAGAATTTAACCTTATTAAAATTATGAATACTTACTCTAATTCTGGATTGTCCAAATACTTCATTATACGTCCCAACATTAGGTTCGCCATCTTCCTTATCTCATTGGTTACCTGTGTACAATATCAACTAAAAATATTTACACCTCGCAATTTTTTTAATCTAGCAAATTGTACAAATTTAAGTCTTAGTACTTAATGATAGAGTTCGAAATACTCGAAACGTACCTCAACGCTGAATGATCCGAACTGGTATTCGAAACTTTGAATGTTTTGCTTTATCAGATCAATGCTTTTTGTGTACTCGCCTGAAACAATGTCAATGTATTAGATGGTAAATTAAAAATTTAAAAACTATTGGTTATTAACAGAAACCTTGAATGACATCAATTTTCAACATTCTCAGACTAATGACGAAATTTAAAACGATTTAGAGAGATAGAGAGACAGAGAGAGATAAAGAAAATCGGTGCCTCTCCCTAGGATATTTGAGTGTTGAGTGGGGAGGATACGTTTTCAAACAAACAAGTTCATAAATACACGGCACATCTAGATTCAAAACAACAATTCGTAAGTAAGAATTGCTGGAGTCGAACCGGTACTTTTGATTCTAATGAAAAACGAAACGCGTCAAAAAGGCATGCTAAATTATAAGCGATAAGGTTGTCTTTTCTGAAGCTTGTCATTTCGCCATATCGGTGAAGTGGTTGGAGGACCAATCCTCCTTTCATATTCCCAATTTAAAATCTTCAAATGCGTAATATACATAACCATCAAACGCTCGGAAACACGCTAGTGATCCTTTCGGATGTTCACTGCTTACCATCAGTTATAAAAATTACTATCACATAAAAATGGTACAGTTTGCGAGATGACTCACCTATAGCGGCGTATAGCATGGCCAGATCGTCTGACGCCTTTCTCAGTATATTATGATGGCGATACAAGACCTGCTGCATCAGCCTGTAGGACCGAACCATTCGGTCACAACGCTCCTCTTTTGTTCGAGCGCGCATCGCTATACGAACACACAACTCATTATCAAGGGTAAACGTTAATACTGCATATCATTGCTTAAGAAATTCAGACTCTAATGCAATTTAAAAAAGGTACTGTATTCCAAAGTAGATTTTGTGTTTAAATGACTTTCAAAATGGAGGTTTTTATTAAAACTGTGCTTTTTTTCCTCTAGGTATGATTGACATTTAATAATTTTTACTATTATTCCATTAAAAAAAAATAATCGGGGAAACTTTCGATTTGATTTATATTTCAGAATAAATTGAACATGATTTGCACGAAGGTGTCTACAGATTTGTACAAAGTTTGTTTTAGTAACCCACTAAGTATGCGTCTGAATTGTCAGATCTGTAGACCTTCTAGCTCCTGACACGACATTCAACAGAAAAGTAGATAGTGCTTCTATCTACAAAGCGTAGAGCTGGCGTATGTTTAAAATTAAATAGACAAAACACTGAACTGAAATCTAAATACAGCTTCGAAATATTGACCGTGATAACAATGAAACTAAAATCACAATATGATCTAGAACTAAACAAATGATTAAACAACACATATTACCGAAAATACTTCTAAAATAATCAACTAAATATGAAATGTAAGCAGATCGTAAGATACCGGCCGTTTACCAGTAAAGGAGGAAAAGGCACGGGAGAACATAGGTACAAAGTTCTTTGGTACCAGGTCTCGGCACCTCCCCCTAGTACCTGGTACCTTGGTGCGCGGTCAACAGCAGTTGCAACAGGAAAATGGGAAGACATTCACGTTTACACTACATTGATACCATACCTTGGTGCACAAATTCGTGACTTCGGGTGAACGCGTTAATAATGTCTGGAATCTTGAGTTCCGTATGGCACCGCTTGCAGTTAACTAACGCAGAACATATAAGAGAGTAGAAATTGTATCAGACTGAACAGATTGCCAACACATGAACATCAACACGATGAATGCAGAAAGCCCGCGACATGACTTCGTTCAAGTCGGCCGGCTTGTTCCAAACTCATTTGCAAACGGCGGCGCCGGCACCGACGCCTGTCCAATCACAACCAATATTTTCCTTCATTTTCTGACAATGTTTTTGCGATGCGTATCGGTGCCGGACGGTGTTTAACAGTGCCAATCATGTCATCTACATACAAAATCACAACTACATAATTTGTATCTCGTCCGCTGTTACAAATGAGCACTATCCACAGTCAACGTGTTTACGGAATTATCTATTTCAACTCCGGGATCAAATCCTGAAATTGAATTAGAAGCTTCTATCTTGAGAATGTCCTACACAGGTCAATAAGATTTTATACATATGTACATATCTAAACGATGACATCTTCCTTGTTAGGTAGATTTTTAATTCTTAGGGTCATCATCGATTTGAAGTTTACCTTGGACATGGCTAGACAGGCTAATGTTTTTTTGTCTACGGGTCATTGCTCACCTTCTCTCTTATATGTTCCGATATATAAAAGTTATCTTAAAACCTTAAAAACTATTGGGCAAACAATTGATAGCTGTACTAAAAGCCGTTGCCCAGTCAGGGTCAATAGATAATAAAAAAAACCAGAAAGTGACCACACCAATTGCTTCGTGACCCAGTAGATAACCACGTTTAGAATTTGTTTAAAGTGATTTATAGGAAAACTGACTTCATGTGCAAGTCTGGGTGCCGAGTCGGTGTAGGCTTTTCCAGGCTGACCAATCATGGTGTAGTTTTGTGTAAGTAACATTAACAAACACGCCCAGCCCAGCGTTAGTAGAACACGTGGCGGACCAAAATATAGCCATTTTTACAGCATGACAGTAATATAAAACTGGAGTAAAAGCTATAAATATAAAATTGGGTATTTGGGTATAAGCAATAAATATGAAAGACGGACATGGACGCTTTACTGTTGGCTGCGACTTTCAGGTCGTTCGATTTTCCTCCCTGTGTTTGAGCACAGTGGACGAGAGAGACCAGGCGTGTTTCGGATGTCGGTAATGTTTAGATGAGTACAGTACCTATTGCGTGCATTGCATCAGCAGTTTCAGCAGCATTCTGGGCTCTTTGCAGCGGGAACTCATTGGGACACTGGTGGCAACACATTCTCGTCCCTTCCCAAGTAACAGGACCTTTGCATGACGAGCATGCGTACGCCGAAAACAGCGACTGAGGGAGGGACAACGTGATATTGAAGGGGGCAGAAATACAACATTGAATGGAGCGGAGTCTGTGACACAGATCGACTACTATACTGTCAGTAATCTTTACCTACGAGTGACCAACAAGTAGGAACAGCTAGAACTACCAGTGGCTAGTAAAATTATTTTTAACAGTTTAAGTTCAATGTCTAAACAAGTGGAGTTAAGGGTTCAAAGTTACAGATAGTACTAACTACCTAACTATTGAATGGCAAATATAGGGCTCGGTACTCACGACGAAGTCTTTTCTGGATTCGTCAACGCAGGCAGGACACATGCAGTGGAAGCCGTACTGGATGCGGAGGGCTTCTCGTCGGTCATCGGTGGAGGCTCTTGCGTAGTGAGGACCGTAGCAATTGAGAACTTCACCCCCTTTGGGCAACTCACGAATCACTTTAACGAAAAGGTGATTTTTGTAGAACCTGTACGCGGAAATAACATGTTTTAATGCCGCTCTGTAAAAAGATCTATTTTTATAGTTAACAATAATAAAGCCTTACACGTTTGTGATATTCGGTTCACAAGAGTGATTCATCATCGAAGCGCTGGGATATATCCCCGTTCCGATTCGACGCCAGGGGCTGGACGTACACGGTACTGCGGCGTAAAAGAAAAGGTATGACAAATTAGGCACCAAATTTCGCAATTGCCTTAATAAAAAGTTCATACTGAGAAAATCACTTCAGATACTCACTTGGCATATTAGGATTTTGACCAGTATTTAATTCCATGACCGTGTGTGCGTTACTGATTAGCTGGCCCAAGCTACGGAATATCAAGGCCGCGCACAATAGCTTCATTTCATTCATGGGTAGGGGATACCCAACTCTAGCCGGGAAATACTCAAAGAAATTTGTATTTTGTTCAAGATACAGGGTCAGCATGGTGGACGACTGAAAGGGAAGATGCCCATCAGAAACACTTACTATATCCATTAAATACACTTTTAAAATGTTAGAATACTCTACTCACTAGGGCGTACTGTATGTTATCAGTATTCGCCGAACTGCCCAGGTTCGACGAAAGGTTGAACATACGGTAGAAAGACTCTGTTTCCTTCTTGTAGATGTTGATGTTGTCCACTTTGCTGTACTCCGCAATCAATGCGGCAGCCGTGGTCGGCGTGCCGGCTGACTCCGGCAGCCGAGGGAAGCCCTTGTGGGCGTATTTTAACATAACCCTAAAAACAATAACTGTGTTACATCTAGAAATCATGGAATGGGATGTTTCCAACTTGTCCAATTTCATATTTTTATGATATTGTAATGCTTATATTCTTTTTGCGTCTATAAGGTTATTTTTTTGTTTGCCAATAGTCACATTCTTAATTTATAATCACATAAATTACTAATGAAATTTTGACTACGTGTACAAACAGTGTATTCAAAAGTCAACTACTCGTACTTTATTTGTGACTGTGGAAACATCCCAACAATTATACACGTCGTGGTAATCACGTGCGTTAACACGAAATCACCATTTGTCTCTTCACGCACTTGCAGTCCATAAAGTCCAAACTGGGTTAAAAAAACCTTACCTAAAGGCCAAATGAGCGATCCCTATAATAGGGAATATGTTAGCTCTTACTCCAATACATTCCCAACGGTGGTAAAAGTTTTTGCCGAGATAGTGGCAAGCTTCGTCGCAGTATACCACGCGGGAACAGTCGCTGCACCTAAAACCACGAGACGAATGACTTCCTAGTAAAATTCAACGATAAATATCTATCTGCTTTTCGAATGCAATTAGTTAAAACTTACCCAATCATAGCCGGATCGCTGCTGCAACAGTAGTCGCAGTAGTAGGGATGCGGCAAGTCCTTATCCGGCAGTTTGACGGAGGCGAATGGTTCCTCAGCGAATATAACATCGCCTCTCTTCACCGGTTCCTTCACCAGCACATGACGCCCGAACTCCTCATTTCGTCTGTGGACAAATTGTAAGTTGAAAATATGTTTGATAATCCTATCATGACACAAGATAAACTGTATGGATACTCGAAAAAAGCTTAAGACAGGCTTGCAAATCTGATTTTGTTTCTCAAGTTTCCTTATCAAACATACAATCATCTTCGCAAATGCAATGAACAAACAAATTATTGTAAGGAGAAATTTTCTCAATTACGGGAAATCTTCACATACATATACACGCTTGGACGAATCGATGACTGTTCGGCCCGCCAGCCCCCACGGTGGCAATGCTGACGACTAAGTGAGCACCCCACCATAAGGGAGGCAGGTCGATGGGTTAAAGATGGTATGTGCCTCCGATGCCCACTCGCAAATGTATTTGTATATTTAAGAATTTATACACCATAATTTGCAAGAGGACATCTACCCTGTGATTAGTGTTATTGTAGAAGCAGCAGCAGGGATGTGCATTTTTCTGTCTGGTAATTTCGCTTCATGTTTCTTTCGGCTTCGCTCCGTTTTCTTCATTTCTGCATGTGTCGCTGGAATCCGAAGTGGAGTCCATGTCTGATCTCGCTTCAAAATAGAGTTGACAGACATAGGCCCCACCTAAGACCCTAGCATTTAACGTTCTTCAAACCTAAGCTTCTTTCTTTTTTTTTGGATTTTTTACGGATTCTTTTAAGGGATGTGTACGCGTTCTAGAACAAAATATTACTACGTACTTTTGAAAGGCAATAGCGACCCAGTTAGGTCCAGGGATTTTAGCTGAAAACCAACAAGTTGGGGCGGATCCGAGGATCACAATTATATCAGCACCCTGAGACTAAACTGTGTTGCCAGCCTTTCGTGGGATGTTAGGGATTAAAAATACATATTAAAAGGGACTATAAATTCAAATTTTATTTAAGTGATTTTTTCTCAGAGTAGTTAGACCGGAAATAGCTAGACTTTTAGAAAAAAAAATACTTTTCGCGAATTTCCACCACGAAATGTAAGACTGAGCGACTGGGCAGTTATAAATAAAACACATTTTGAGTTCCAAAGTACTTTATTTTAATTAAAATTACAATTTTTATTAACAAATTAACTTTTAGAGGTTTACAGTTAGTTAGTACTTCAGCTAGACTACACTCATAACTTCGCGGTGACTCTAGTGAAGGGCTGAAGCGACCCATTTAGATGCAGGGATTTTAGCTGAAAACCAACAAGTTGGGGCGGATCCGGAGATCACAATTATATCAGCACCTTGCACCTAAACTGTGTTGCCAGCCTTTCGGGGGATGTTAGGGATTTGAGTTCTTCTGATCAATAATATTAACTTTAAAAGGGACTGTAAAATCGAAAGTCGAGTTCAAATGTAAACATCCAAATTTAAAAAATAAAAAATGAGCGAGTGAGACCATACTTTTAGATTATTTTAAAAGATTAATCAATATAGGAGATCAAGGAAAGAACAATTGACCACGTACGCATCACAGCATTTAAATATTGTCACATTGGAAATGCTCAGAAGTAGATTGCTCTTTTTGAAATTCTCAGTCACAGTGGTACAAGGAGAGAATAACTGCTAAAATTATTTTACAGGCAAAGAAAAAGATGTTTTATTACTCATATTGTCAATTATGGGGCTGTTTCGGTTTCCTGCTACTCGAAATCAATTTTAATTAAGAAATTAACTTTTAGATGGTTACAATTACCCTAGTGAAGGGCTGTAGCGACCCGGCTAGGTGAAAGGATTTTAGCTGAAAACCAACAAGTTGGGGCGGATCCGGGGATCACAATTATATCAGCACCTTGCACCTAAACTGTGTTGCCAGCCTTTCTAGCTCGTCTAGATTAATTTCAAAATATTGGTTTTCAAGTACTACTTTGTTTTTCTTGTACATGTAATAAATACTTATTATTTGATTTCATTACAGAAGGCAAATTGTTTTAGTAGATATTCAACTGTATTTATAATAAAATATTATTGTTTAATTTTATATTGAATAGTGGTCGTTAGTGTGACTGCTGAAATCTCGGTTTCTATGCCGGTTTCGTGCAGTGAATCATTAGCGATTTTCGAAAAAATCTCAGTGCGGAGTCTGGAGCCGCCCATTCGCCAGGACTCATAAACATAGCCAGTTGTACTGGGTCATGGCTGCGTTTCATAAATACATGATATCACATGCTCGTCACACTCGAGTCAGGGATCTACAACATAACCGCAGGTGGTGAAAAGGCTCGAACTTTCCAATACCCTGAAGTTAGGCAAAAATAGTACTTTACTTTACAAATATTTTAATATTAGCCAGACGAGCCCTACATTACCTAATTTTCGATTTTTGAAATTATCAGAAAAGGACTTGCTTCGTGTGGGAATCGAACCCACGTCTTGCAGTAGCAATTTGCATAGCCGCTATGCTAACAAGTCCCCGTGGATGTGAAAAGGATCGAACTTTTCAATAGCTTGCAGCTTTCCAATAAGCGTGCCCCATATTAACAAAAGTTATCATAGAAAAAAACAACAATTAATTTTACAAATAATTTTTAATTTGAGTACTGTTCATCTCTGTAAGTCTTGCAGTGTCTCTCTTATGTACCAATTTTATATTCCATGGAACTTGTGTAAGCATAACTGGCCATCAACTGAGCACCACCAACATGACAAAAGTTTTAATATGAATATTTCATTTGTTTTCAAAACATTATCGATCGGGCATCATCCATCTCACTATCCCAATTTCTCTTACTAAGCTAATGTAAGTCTGAGGCGGCCTAGCCAACCACCCACCATCTTCAGGTGCGGGTTCGCGACCAGACCAATGTGTCGTTTTCAGAGTTATATGTACTTTCTAAGATTATTCAGGCATATCGTGACGAAATCAGTAATTTTTAATTTTAAGTTTTAAATTTCCAATACATAGGTATGTAGTGGATTATATTATTACCACCTTCTCCGTTAGAAATAGGAAATAAATTTGTAAGTCCTCTTGTTACACATTAAGTATTTATGAAAGTTACATTATCAACTATTGTACATGTTAATGAAAAAATAATGAGAACAAACACTTTTACAAAAAAATGGCCACTTTAGATTTTTTTCTCTACTTCAATGAAGAAGAACAAGAAATAGGTTTTATTAATTCGATATTTGAAGCATCCTGTCCTGACATGCTTTTTTACGTTCCAAATTTGTAATTTGAAATTTATAAAAGTAAATAATTATTATTGTGGATTATTCTAAAATTGCTTTACTAATGGCGCGAATTTCTGAAACAATTTATAACTGATTACGATATTTTAAAACTTTTTGGATATTTTCTACAAATCAAACAATTTAATCTTTCTTTTTACATTAAATACCACTAAGTATTTGATATGAGTGATATGGGCTGGTAAAATTATAGCCCTATTTGAAGAAGGTTGTTCGCAAACTTACATGTCTCAGTGGCTAAATGTCAGTCGTTCAACTGTCCAGAGGACTTGGCAAAATTATCAAGAGACCGGTTCCAGTTCCAGGGAAAAAATGATGGACAGAACCAAGAGATGACTAGCGTTGTGGAATAGAAAGGCGTCAAAGAGCCTTGACCTTTCAAGGCGTAAGAGGCGTAGAAGTTAGCTTGTGGACGGTCAGGAGGACGCATAGGATACACTCCGGAATAGGACAAAGGCGATTTTTTATCAACATCGTAGGCGAAGCCGCTGGTGGAAAATGTACTGAATATTTTCGACTAGGATTTTTTCGTTACGGGTCAGCACTTCGAAAGCGTGGAGGTTTAGGTGTCGCATAAAATAATATGGATGAAATTGGGTATTGAATAAATATTAGGATTAGGTAGATGGATAAATTATTTTTCAAGACTAGGATAAGGTGGAACAGGATCTGATTTTGCCTAAACCGACCCATGTCTACAATCTACAACCATGTAACCCCGTAGAAGTTAAAAAATTAAAACCACAATATAATTTACTCAAACACAAAAAGAACTTCCCACTTTATCAAATACGAAATAAAGTATTTATGAATTATTTTATTTCGTATTAATAACAATGACCGCACGTAAGGGTTGATGCGAAATAAATCACTCCCTGTTTACGTGTATGTTTTATTGTGTAAACCCCTGGTAACACAATAAAAAATTTTCCCACTTTGTCGGCGTGATTGATGCCAAATTAATTTTTATTGATGCCAAATTTCAGCTTTCTAGTGCTCACTGAGAATAATTTCATGATGTAAAATCTAGTCTGTCTGATCTTTCTAATTATAATAAGCTCATCTGTCTGTTGTTTGTTTGTGTTTGAACAAACAAACAGACATGGCGAAAAAAACCATGTGAAGACAACTTAAACACGACACGAGACAGCTGTGAATCATATACCTAGGTAATGAAATTGTTCCATGCGGGAATCGAACCGCCAATCGTTAAAATCAATGAGTATCTATGAAAAAAGTTTCTTTACACTAGGATTTTCTTCTGTGTCGAGTACAAACATAGAATTTGACATAAATATTGCACCAAGACCCAAAACAACAATTTGTGGATCACACAAAGAGTTGTTCCGTGCGTAAATCGAACCCGCTACACGTTGCGCGGCAGCCAGTTGCCCAACCTCTGCACCAATTTTGTGGAGATGACTCGTATGAAATTACTAAAATTTTAAAGAGGTAAAATTTGTGAGTTTGTGCGTCTTATCTCTCTCTATCCTTGGAACAGTTCGCTGATCGGATTTCCAAAATTCTTTCACTGGTAGAAAGCTTCAATGATCCTGAATGTTATTAAGACTATAAATTGCAATTGATTAACCTATTTTAGTCGAGGTATCACTTTGAACATTACTATTTTTAAAATCCCCAGATACATGTTTTTATACATACGAAACCGCGGGGCGAAAGCTAGTACTTATATGTATATATAACTTAACTCTCACTAGCGCTTCTAGCGGAAAACGCTGGAACTATATACACTCTTCATTGGACTACTATGAACGAAGTACGTAAAAATCACAATTATATATCTCTCCCACACTTCA